TTACACCTTTACCATTAGTGAAGAAAATTTGTTTATACATACCTTCAGCATCGCTAAAATTTATCTATCTTTTATATTGCTCTCAGGAAATCACTTTGTAAAAGTCTGGGAAAGGAGAAAGCAAAGAAAGAAAGAATGTCCCTAAAACTACATAATCCTTCAGTCTATGCAGCACTGAACTCATGACGTACATCAATTTTTAGTTTATACTTTTAATATATCCTGGGGCAGTTCTTCAACCTCTTCTAAAAAATTCAATTTTAATTTTTATATGTCCACATCCTTTCACATATGATTTGGACAGATGCAGACTATTGAATATAGTGTAAGCAACTTTCTTAGTGCTTCCTTTGAGCTATTTCATAGTTCCTGCTTTAACAGGCAGGAGATAGTCAAGAAATAATGATTCAGCTATTTCTTAAAGATTTCACAATTCTACATTCAATAAAGAAAATGTGCATTCTTGGAAGGTATGGTATTTTTGTAGTTTTAATGTCAGCTCCTATGAAGGGCTTGGACATATCCACATCCCAAATCTCACAGGATTCTCTGTTGCAGAATCGGCTAATTTGCTGACTTCGCAAATGGAATTTGAGCATTAATGTGTGAGTTACAGGCTACTTTAGCTGAAAAGGGTATCAAAATATTTTATAGTAAAGTTTAACTGTTGACTAAAATGGCAGCAATGCATTTTCAGTTGGAAAAAGCAATAAAGGAGAACCTTGGGAGATAAAATCTTGCTTATCTCACTATCTGTATTATGAATGCAAAAGGATATTACTAAACCAAAAGCATAAAAAGGCAATATTATGTTCCACACTTAATTTGTTTATTTAATGAATCACAGTAATGGATTTCCTAGTGTTGACCCATGAGGTGCCATGGATTTTAAAATATAGAGATAAAATAAATGGATAAGATGATATGACTGGAATATATTTTAATTTTAAGTACTTATTCCTAAACAGAAGAAAAGGCTGTATCAGAAAAGGTAGCCAGGATATGAAACATGAAAAATATGCAAATATTGCTACAAAATCAAGTGTTGGCTGTTAGCAGAGGTGGGAAATTTGCTCAGGATGGAGGGGCTGGGGCAGATGGGTATGTCTCCTCATCAAGGATTTGAAGAGGAGGGGAGGGGATAGGAGGCAAAAGGCAAATAAAATATTTTGGTGGCTACTGTTATTTATTCATTATTATGTGTTAATAGAGATGCATAGATTTTAATATTATTCTTAGAATAGTAAGGTGATATTTAGGGGCATGGGAAATCATAAAATAACATTAATTTAAAAGTGAGAGTGAGAAGATAAAAGAGAAACTTAATAAGACTAGCAAAAAGCTTAATATAATGAGCAAGAATATGGAGAAAAGTTAAAAGAGAAAAAATAATAAATAGTAAATATTAAATGATAAGAACAAAACCAAAATTTATCTTCACAATAAATTCAAATAAACCAACTTTCCCTATCATGAAACAAGGAATATCAAAATGGATTTAAGCATATATACATATATGCATCGTTTATGAGAAATATATCTGAAATAAAATGAAGACAAAGGTTAAAAAGAAAAGGATGTGCAGAATTATAAAGGCAAATGCAAATAAAAAAGTAAGAAGGGCTGACAATCAATAAATCAGATAAAGCAAAATCTACCAGAAATGCATTAAATGACACAAAAGAGTTATATTATGGTCTAAGTTGTAGACCAAAATAAAATTAATATCTTTATTCACCAGGCAAACAACATCAAAAATATATAAAACAAAATCCTCCAGAAATACAAAAATAATTTAAACAATTAAAGATGCAATAAATTAAAAATAGGATCAAGAGACTCCTTTTCAAACATGTACAACCAAATGTATATTCAAAACGATTGTCTTCTATTGACAAAGATTATGCCTTATTTTCTTACATTATGAGAACGTACACAATTATGAATCATATACTTCATCTCACAGAGAGCCACAGAGACCATATTCTCCAGTCAATTCAATAAAACTAAAAATCAACAACAAAATCATGACTAAATAACCAAAAGCACTCTTCTAAACAACCACCAGATCAGAATAGAAATCAGAGGGCTAATAATGGCAGGTTAATTTTATGAGCACTTCACTTCAAAATTTATGGAATTTTGGTCTTGAACATTTCTATCAACAAAGAAAACCTGAAATTTAACAATTAAGAATTCCATTTAAGGAAGGAGAAGACCAAGTTCTATTATTCTAAAAGCTGAACTATTTTAAGATTCTGGCTTATCTAGTATATTTAAGGTCACACCACAGAAAATTCATGGGGAAGCCTAGCAAGGAGTCAAGGCTATTTTTGACAGTTTCCCTGTCACAGGCAGGAATATGAGTCAGACTGCTCTAGCCCATCGGAGCCCAGGAGCAGATTCCCAGCAAGGAAGAGGCAACTCAGTCAAGTATGGGAGATTTGGCGGAGCAACAGGCACTCCCCCCCACATGTTTACTCTCCACCATTCATGTTTACTCACTGGCAGCTGGATGCATACTCAGAAGTCTAGTTGGTTCTCGGTAGACTGATGGTGCCAGAGCTGGGGAGTAGTGGAAAGGCAGTGGTGCAAGTTGTGCCTCACTCAAGTGCCCACTGAAGGCCAGGGGCAGGTGTGATGTTGGCCCCTGCTGTCCAAGCTGTGCTCCTGAGAGCCCTCAGCCTCCATCCACAAAAGGAATGTGGCTGCCCATTCTTTGAGCATCACATGCATCAAATGTGGCCTGTGCATGTGCCAGGTAACTACTAACAGGACCAAGCCCTACGTCGAGCCTGGAACTTCTCATCATCTCTGAGGCTGACCACACCCCACCCAGTGCCACCTTTCACCGGTTTAAACCAGCTTTAAGGAAAGGCAGAGCTTCCCCAGCTCTTTGGAACCCAACAGAGTCAGTGTACCATACAGGGCTCTATGGTATTTCAAGAGCTCTCTACTCAGTCCAAATTCCAGGAATATCAGCATCCCCTGGGAGACAGGAGACCCCCCCCCCCAAGTGACTAGTGGTCACTCTCAAATTGGAGAAGTACCACACTACCAGACCATCTCTTTTCTGTCTAAATTAGAATTACTGCAAGAAAAAGGTATGACATTGTTTTAAACCAGAGATCTTTAAGTGATATGTGGTTGACAGGTTTCTACCCTTTTTCTCTGTCTTAAGTTCTTGAAAGGTCTTTAACGTTGAATCTGTATACATAATTGAGGGTTGCTGTTGGCATATAGGACCTCCGCCTGGAGCCCCGAATCTGATTCTAACATCTGCAGTTCTCAAGGTTCTCTGGGACTCTGCCGTTTGAAGAATGTAATGTAAATGCCACTCAGTTGGACAGTGAAGGACTTGCTCCTGATGAGTTTATCCTTTTCAGAACACTGAACTAGTTAGCTCTAATCTTAGAAAATGTCATGGCATTGTATTTTGCATTCATTGGGAAGCACCACCTTACACTCAGTAGTTCTGTTTTGTGCAAGACAATAGCCTGTCAGATATGTAATGGGTTCATCTCCCTTCTTTCAAAGGAAACAATCCTTTGTTAGCAAGCTAAGATTTACCAAAAATGCTGAAATTAACTGCTCAGGAAGGGGCAGTTTCATCTGTGTTCTTATGTTCTTATGTTTGATTTAGACACAGTTTATTATATTTCTGTGACATGATTTCAACAATAACAGCATGCAGTTTAATCATCATTTCATTTACAATGAAGTACAGATTAATAAATAGTCTATCCATCATGAAGAAGATTTCCAAATATGTATTCTATATATGTGCTTTATGAAGCCATTTTCAAAAAGGATCCACAGAGTATCTTTTTAAATGTGGTATTTTAAAATTCCCCAGGGCCCTGTGCTTTCTTTCTCACCATGATACTGAAGAAGGGAGTAGGGATTTCTGTGTAATCAGCTGCAGTCTAATCTCTGCACAAAAAGGAAAAGCATGCCCTCTCTCAAAGAGTTTACAGTGTAGAGTAACATCCATGGAATAGAGAAAATTGAATATTATATTATGGTTGTACAGCCTAGCTTGAAGGTCCAAGAGAGAACCTGTCTCTTTCTATAGGAATCTGGGAAATCTGCATACAAAACATGTGACTTAAACATTCCACATAAACAAAGTCAGAATTTTCAGAAAATGTGAGCATGGAAATAAAAATCAGATGTCAGCTATAATTTGTGTGCAGATAAATTATAAAATGCCTTTCTCAGTATTTCTAATCCAAATATCTTTTTATTTTTCTAGCTTAAAATTGTCATGAGTATGTCCTTGCTCATGACAAATACACTGGTTAGACACCAGGGTCCAAGTCGTGAGACTGGGAATGGAGACCAGGACTCACATCACGTACACGTGGCATGAGAAAAGCTAGGGTTAGAATCATAATAGAATAATAGACTTTTGATTATCAATTTAATTCGTATCCATTTCAAAAAGAAGTAGAAATACAGGAAAGTAACAAAAGAACTATTTGATGTAACATGTTAATCAGAGATAATTGCTATAAATATTTAGGATTTATTTTGCAAGAATTTTGTGTCTGTGCATTTATACTCAAATGTAATCACATGTTGATATCCTGCTGTGAATTCTTGAGACTACTGTGGAGGTGAGAAGAGAGGGATAAAGGAAACTAAAATTTTATGTCTTTTTCAGTTGAAATTGCTTTGTTTTGCATTGATTTTTCAATGCTATCATTTTGATGTATAGTATGACAATTTAACCTCTTTAACACTGTTAAGTATTTGCGTATGTTGTGTTTAACAAATATGCAAGCTGAGCAAAACGAAAATGATCCCTGTAGAGTTTTTTATAGGCTTCGATTTAGTAAGCACGTGAAAATGGAGAGTTAGTGATTCCTTAAAACGTTTCAAATGTCTATATCTGCTTCAATATGACAAAAATGTCGAGTCCTGCAAGATGTGTTTCTGTTGTAATTAATATAAATTTTTCACTGGGCTTGTATGTCTATCTCTCTCTCTCTTTTTTCTTAAATATGGAACACTTCATGCATTTGTGTGTCATCCTTGTGCAGGGGTCACACTAATCTTCTCTGTATCATTCCAAGTTTAGTATATGTGCTACCAAAGTGAGCATGGACTTGTATGTCTCTTAATTCCAAATTACCTGTATTTTGCAGAATGGAACTGCTTGACTGAGAGTTTGTCTTAAAGATATTATTTTAGACCATGTGCAAGAGAGAAATTCTTGCCAAGTATGGCCTTCACTTACTGAACTCACTATTTAGAATGAGAGATATGAAGCATATGAAATATTCTAAGGATGAGCTTGACGATGGGCATAAATTCCAGAAAAGAGCAGAGACAACTTGCCTTAGTGCCTCCCTGAGGAATCCCAATCACTCTTTCAGATTCCCTTGGGCATCAAGTTCACCAGGAAACTTTCTCTGAGTCCTCAGTCTAGGCAATAGATTCTTTTGTGATACTTTCATTAGACGATGCATCCTCTATCACTATACTTAACTCCATTTTTTCTTGTATCTTTCTTCTTTTCTGGACAGTGAGTACATTGAGAACAGGTAGAATGACATTCACTTTTTCATCCTTTGGAAATGGCATCTGACACACAAAATTTTTTAATAAATACTATTGGAACTTACGAACTCATGAAAAGTTCAGGAGGGAAACTAGAAGGTATTATTTTGATTTTGAGATACCAGTATATTCTTTAAGAAGCCAAATTTCAGGAAGCAGCTATAATATAGAGGAACTAAGAAGACTGTCCAGGCTTCAGAATGTTGTGGCGTTGAAGATATCTATCCTCTCATCTACAAGCAGGCTGCCTTGCCTTGCCTCAGTAGATGGCAACAATTGGTTGGTGGTTTAAGAGTTAATAGATTTCTTTAATATTTTTAAAGTTGTGATACAAAATTCAAAGACAAGTTAATTTTAGAAACTAGCCTTTATTTAATCAGGGCAGTGAAGTTGAAATAATAAAATTTCTTTCAGAATTTTTAAAACAATTTTCTAAATAATTGAATGGTCTCTAATTATTTAAGAGTTAGTCTTTACCAACTTCTTTGTCTCCTACATTACTTTCACTTTCTATCACCTTTTAAACCAACCTTTTAAAAGACAAATATGCTTGTAACAGGCATCCAGTATGAAGAAATTTGGCTGTGGGAGGCTTACAGGGGAAGGGAGAAGGTCGTATTATTTGAGGAGGTCGACGGGCATTCACAATATGCACGTACATGATTTATAGAGAATCAAATCTTCAGTAGCCTGAGAAACACATTTCAAACAATTCTGGAAGAGTAGAGGTTGATATATTTGAATATAAAGACCAATGATTCTAGTTTACCATATAATTTCTGTCACCTTAATCAAATGTATAAAGATATGATTATATTGCTTTGTTATGCTCAAGTTTTTCATAAGCCTTTCTTGTAAAAACCCTTTCGGAATGGGTCACTTTCTCAGTATTATCTTTAGCCTGATTAAATTTATTTTTAAGTTGAAACCCCAATTTTTTGAGATTGCATATTTATTACAATATTTTGTCACAGAAATAGAAAAAAAGTTTTAGAGGTAAAAGGGATCTTGTAACTTCCCTAAGCTAATCCTGAACAAGATGAATACAGAGACAAGTTCTTGTCACAGTGCTATGAAAAGAACATAAATTTTGCCATCAAGTGATCTTGGCTGTTTCTCTAGTTCCACCACCTACCTTATAGATTTTCTGTTAATTAGGAATAAGTTAAATCATTAAAAACTTGAATAAAATAGTTGATTAGGTTAAATGTTTTAAATATTTTTGATTGAATGCCTATTGAATTAAATATTCCAATAGAATTTAAGCTCCATCGAAGCAGGATTTTTTAATGTGTTTTCCAGAGCCTGGAAACAATGCCTGAAACATAATAAGTGCTTTATAAAATCTTTTAAATCAATGAGTTTAATAAGTTAATAGCTATGAAGAACTAAAACATATTTAGTATTAAAACTGTACGGAATATAATGCAATTTTGAATAATTCAGAGCCAATATTATGACTACCACATATCATGACATCATTAAAGTGTTTTGATTTTAATGTGTCAGAAGATGGCTTTAGGTTTTCTCGTCTTATGGGTTGATAGAAATGAAGTTTATTAGGATTAACCTCTGCTTTAAAATTCTTAGAGACAGGGAGCTTACTATGTATTTCTTCAAACTTAGGTTTTTTTATTAATGTTATTGAGACTATTATCTTTGTGATTCATGGGAGAAAACCAAGAATTATGACTTAATTATAGGTAGCAAAATTTTGGCAGTAAACTATCAAATAAGTTAACTCATTAACCTATCTATCCAGCCACCCATTTATTCATAATGGTTCTTCATTCTAAGCTGGTGTGATGGATGAACTAGGAAGTGGATGGTGTAAAGTGGTTCGATAAAGTCTTCCTGTTTAATATTTATTTGGCATCCTCAGCGTGCTAAGTAACCCATAGAATACAGATTAGATCACAGTTCTCACCTTCAAAAAGTAAGACGTACACGTCTCATAAAGTCTCTGTGAAATGAGGCAACTTGCCAAACCAAAAAAATAAATAGATTTTAAAGTAATGACTGCAATTTTACTCTTGAATCTTGATTCTCTCTTGCTCAGTCTGAAGGAATAAATCTGAAACAGAGCAAATGGGGCATATCTAGCCTGTGTTCAGTTACCAGGTCATTGAAAGTAGACCCATCCATCTGCAAAAGGCTGCCTTTGTGGAAGAAAAGCTTGATTTGTGTTTTGAGATAATAAATTTCATCGGTTTTAAAAAGTTGTAATACAAAGTTCGAGGAAAAGTTTTTCTAGAAGTTTGCTTCTACTTAACTAGAGAGTAACTTAAGTTAGAAAAAATATTCCTTCTAGTTTTTTTTATTCATTTATTTTATTTTTTTCTTATTTTTTTAAATTACCATTCCCCCGACCCCTACCTTTTGGCAACTATCAGCTGGTTCTCTATATTTGTGGCTCTGTTTCTGTTTTGCGTTGTATATTCATTAATTTTGTTTTGTTTTGTTTTTTTTAGATTCCACATAAGTGACATCATACAGTATTTGCCTTTCTTTGCTTGACTTATTTCACTTAGCATAATACCCTCTAGGTCCATCCATGTTGTCAGAAATGATAAAATTTCATTCTTTTTTATTGCTGAGTGGCATTCATTGTATTTATATATATATATACTACAATCTTTTTATCCATTCGTCTGTTGATGGACACCCAGGTTGCTTCCATATTTTGGCTATTACAAATAATGCTGCAAAGAACATAGGGGTGTATAAATCCTTTCGAATTAGTGGTTTTGTCTTCTTCAGATAAATACCTGATAATTTTAAACAACTGCCTTTCTAAATTGAATTATTACTCCTACAATCCCAGCTTCAACTAAATGATATGCTCCCAAGAGCAATGATTGCGCAGAGAGGCTTACTCTTTTCCTCCAGGTGTTCACATTTCATCCACCCCCAAGCCAAATGATGAAGCTTGGAGGTTAGGGGTTGGGAAGAGGTTCTTGAAGCTCCCTGTAAGAGGTGGAGCTATTTGCTTTGCTTCCTTCCTATCTGGATGCCTGATCAATTTCAGGATCTGAGAACAACATGGATGAAGTATCAGAGTGCAATGAAAAGTATGGTGAAAGAATCATTGGGAAAGCTTGATGGGTAAGTCCTAAAGGTGGTTCTTGAACTGGAACCTCCTTCTAGTCTAGAAATGTATGAAGGCAGGAGGCTTTCTGTAATAGTTTGCCTAGCAAGAGAGTCTGTCCTGCAATTTGTCTGAGAAGAAAAATCAAAGAAAGGAAAGAGGATCATCACCCCAAGTCCTGTGGCCCTAGGAGAGAACAGAAGAGGACCACTTTGACTTCAATGGCTTCCTATGAAGGGTCATGGAGGTTAGAAGAGAGAAAATAGGCTATAGGATTGTTCAGGCATCCTGGCCAAGTGAAGAGACCTTCTACCTCTCCAATAATGCTACATGCCCTGTTTTGTTTTTCCCATTGCTCCTTGGGAGCAATGAGAAGCTGGGTAGAGTAGAGAAGATAAAGGTGAAGCTGGTTGCTCAAATAATTGATTGTTCTTTTTACAATATATGGTACTTACTATGTGTCTTCATCTATGAGCCCTAGCTCCAAAATCCTACTACACACTCACCTGTCTCACAGCCCTGTTCAAATGCTCCTAATGGCTTCCCAGGGTCTGCAAAGCAAAAATCCTAATTCTTTAGAAGAGCATAGTTATGGCATTTGGTCTTTACCTATCTTTCTAGCCTCTCTCATGTATTAATTTCAATCTTTCTGTGTTTTAATCAGAGAGAACAACCTAGTACTATTTACTTTCTCCTAAAATCATGTTTCACAGTCATTCAACAGAATATATCGATTACCTCTTATGCATCAGACACTCTTCCAGGTATTAAAGATACAGTAGGTAAATCAGACATTCTTTCTCCTAAGGCGGAATTTTATAGTCTAACAAATAGGGTATTTTTGTCTTAGTAACTTCTGTTCCTGCTTCTTAAATATACTTCCTTCCCTCTTTCACCACAGAACCTTTATTCAAATAGAATAAATGCTGTCTCTGTACTTTGTGTTTACTGTTTGATGGAATTTTGTCTCTATTATTTGACTATCTCTCTATCAAGTCTGAGATCTCATTGACAAGAGCTGTGTTATACCTAACTGTGTATCTATAACATTTGGCACATTGTGGGTACTTAAAAAATGCAGGCTGAAATGCCTCAACCTTATTGTCTTTTATTTAAATGTCTTTAATTCTTACTTTTGTATTTTCTCGGAGATTATATAACATCCAGAGACTTGGCAATCCAAGTTTAGTTCAGAACAGTTACACAATCAAAATATGCTTTAAAGAAGTCTATTCTAAGCAGTATTGGTTGAATGATTTAACATATTTCTTTTCGTATCTAAACAGTGAAGTCATTCCTGTTTGGGGGGGAAAAATAAAGTACATAGCTCCCCAAATTATTCTCAAAACTAAGGATAAACAGCTGGTATCATTTTGAAAATATAAAACTATTTTGACCACCAGAAGCTCATTTCAATGCATATAAAAACAGGGCTCTATATATAGTTAACACAG